AATAATAATAATGAGTTTGTGGCACAGCACTGTTCTGCTTCACAAAAGGACAGTTTTTTTAGTCATCTAGTTACAGTAACTCTTAAATTACCCTATTTCCCCTAAAATAAGACCAAACCTGAAAATAAGCCCTAAGTATCATTTTTCAGGATGCTCATAATATAAGTCCTACTCCAAAAACAAGCCCTGAAACCCCGCAAAAATTAATATAAGAACCTGTCTTATTTTCGGGGAAACAGGGTAGTAGCTTTGTCTGAAAACATGTGCTTGACAATCAGCAATTGCATGTGGGTGAAGGAGCTGTGATGTACATATTTGGAAGCCATGTTGGTACCTGAGGCAGAGCAGCCAAAAGCCTTCCTCTCAATCAGATCCAGTTGCACAGACTCAAGTCAGGTGATTTGGCCACCTGGGAAAGAAAATCCCACAAGTGCTACCTCCCCACACCTGGCAATAAAAACAAAGCCCCTGAAAGGGTTTTACCACGTGTGATGCTAAGCAGTAGCAGACATGCTAGGTGTGGTACAAGATGGCCGTGTCTAGCTGCCCTTTCAGTCTCTCACACTTCCCTATAGGGTTGGGGCACTTTGGGAGCTTGTGAGAAATGAAAAATGTAGTTAGACATGGACAACCCGTGCTGCTTGAATACTAGTGTAGAAAACCTTGTGAAACAAGATGGAGGAAATTGGAGCTCAGTCTATATGGACATTACACCATATAGGGTGAAACATATACTTTATTCAGTTCCGTGGAGGAAGCGGATTCACCTGCATATTCTTTTGCATTAAAAATTGTTCCTACAATTTAATAGCTATAAATTAGATAAGCCAGTTTGGGTCACATCATGACAAAACTCGCTGGAAAAGACAGTAATACTGGGGCAAGCTAAGGGCAGCAAGAAAAGAAGTAAAACCATGTATGAGGTGACTTAATGAATAAAAGGAGTCATGGTTTTGAGTTTCTGGGACCTGAGATGGGCTGTTAAAAATAAAATATTCTGGAGATCACTAATTAATTAAGTCAACATTAGTCTGAAGTGACCTGGCAAAATAATCACTCAATTGTTCTAAATATGTTTGGGTTTTTTTTTTTTTTGAAATAATGTAATATAATAATAATGTGCCGTCAAGTCAATTCTGACTTATAGTGACCCTTTTCAGGGTTTTCTAGGTAGAGAATACTCAGAAGTGGTTTATTGTTCCCTTTTTCTGGGGGTGCTCTGGGGCTGTGCAGCTTTCCCAAGGTTATACAGGCTGGCTCTTTTTCCAGTAGGCACAGTGAGAAATTGAACTCTCACCTCTGGTTCTGCAGCCAAATACCTAAACCACTGAGCTATCCAGTCAGCTAGCTCTTAAAGAATGCAGGCTTTTTAAAATGGTTTTTAAAAATTATTTTGAAAAATGGTTTTAAAACTGTATTTGAGGGATGTTTTTATCTCTTGCACCTTGCTTTGGAAGCACTGGCAGGTGGTCGATAGTTTTAACAGAGAAGTGAGTGAATCTTTCTGTTCTTCCTACATGAAAATAGCTGACGAAAGCAGCAGAGAAGGGCACCATGCTCATATCACAGCCCTCAACATGTGGTTTGGGTTGAAAATGATTGAATTGTTTACTCCTTAGCACAATGTGTGTCCCTGTGCGCTTGTGATACTGTTGCTGACTCAGAAAAGTAATTGAATCGAGGCCATGTTTTACTTATGCATTCTTCTTTCAGCAATTGTGAGGGGGGAGGAGAGGGAAGAAAAAAATTAAAATTTAAGCAGAGAAATCCCCAGTGATTCTTTTTTCTTTTTTTGTTCTGATGACATTTGGTGAAATCAAAATAGCAGCCACCAAATGTATTCTGGAATTGGAAATGAAGGCTTTCTTTCCTCGGGGACAGTGGATGATCCTCTCTTTAGTGGAAGACACCCGTCTCAGGAGATGTTTAAGCAATCACACACCTCAGGGCTTGGCTGGAATGCAGTGTGGAATGGATGCGCTTTGGCTTTAGAGGTAACAGATATCTGAAGTGTGCAAAACATTCATAAATCATGACACAGAAAGCAAATGATAACACACAGGCATGAGCACACATAGACACAAATGAAAGGAGGTAGATGCAAGGTGACAAAGGCAGAAGGTTTATTGTATGTACAAAGACAGGAATGCTAGTACCCATGTACACGTACAATGCCGTGGAAGAATACAGATGTACAAAGAGAGGGACAAACAAGAATTTTTGAAGATAGAAGACATTTTTGAGGATGAGTTAGTAAGGGGGAAAGAGGTCCTTTATGATTGCAGGGAGACAAAGGGATGGGTGACAAGGATAAAATGTACTGAGTCTTTCCCTATACTTCAGTGAATTGTAAGATGCATCATGCATAAACAAATGAACAGCAATATCAAGTTTCTAGTACTGAACAAATATTTGGAGGTGGGAACTCCTGCTAGATTCCCTCTCTGCTCCACCTCACCCTGCCATGCAGTAGCATCAGAATTTACAAGGAAACAACCTTGAGAGCTCCATGGCCACCTATAATATATGTAACGTAAAGCATTCCGCCAACCTATAATGTATCTTATTTTTTGTAGATTCCTTTGCAGTTCTCAGCTCTCATCCAAATGTTTCTTTCTCTGTTTTTCTTTTTAAAAAAGAAAGAAAGAAACCCTGTAGATATGGCAATCATTTCTGACGTCTCTTGTAATTTATTAGGAAGACTGTTGTTTTTACAATGTCAGTAAGGAGGCTGAGATAATAGGTTCTATTCAATTACACAAGTAGAAGAATATTATTCCCCTTCTTGCCATAGAATGCCTCAAGGTACTGACTGCTTGGTACCAGATTCACCTTGTGATTTGTGGTGGGAAGGCAGGAGATATTACTTCATTGAATTATTCAATATAATTTAAAAAATGCTAGAAGTTTACCTTTTAAACCTGTTCTTCTTCTGAACTAGTAAGCTCATCCATCTTTTCCTCAAGCCTCAGATGTTGGAGGCTGCGGTTGTAAACACACTGTTGTATTAGGCTATTTGTAACCATATCCTCAGCTATTTCACAGTTGGCAACATCTGGAAGAGGGTTTCAGGATTTCCATTTGTGGAGCAGGGCAGTACTTTTATGTGTGTGCACCTGATACAGTTCAAAAAGATATATGTACAAAAGGCTGGGGAAGTTGAGGTCGGGGAAACAATTGCCCCATTCAGATGTTCTGCCCTAGAGTGTCAATCAAACTGCACCATACAATAAATGACTTTAATGGCCATTGCTCCATCCTAGGGGATTGTGGGATTTGCAGTTTAGTGAGGGCCTTATAATTCTCTGCCAGAGAACTCTTATGAACTCTGCTGAACTACAGCAGAGAATTCTAAGTCCTTTGCCAGACGACAGATCCCAGGATTCCATAGGATGGAGTCACAGTAGTTCAAGTGGAAGCAAACGGATGTAACTGCGTCTTACACATGATGCATGCAAAGTCCTCAAGCGAAGGGAGGCCTTGCTTTCAGTCTCACCATCTTCACAGGTGCATCTGATGGGGACACAGGAGAGAGCCTTCTCTGTCACTGCTTTCAGACTCTGGAACTCCCTCCCATAGGAGGCCAGCCTGGCTCCATCTTTATTGTCCTTCTGAAAGCAGTCCAAGAGCTTTCTCTTCAGCCAAGCTCTCCCTTAGTGACTGGCTGTCTGAGAGGGGTTTTAAATGGATTGTTGTGTCTTTTTGCTCTGAATGTGTGTGTGGGTTGATTTTGTTTACCGTTTTTACAAATGGCATTTATTTTAATAAATTATTTAAATTATTGTCTTTTACTGATGTAAGCGAAATTGGATCTTCTTTGAGGAGAAAGACAGGGTATAAACAAACAAACAAACAAACAAATAAATAAATAAATAAATAAAGCAAGCCAGCAATCAAGCTTGCAAATGTGTTTGGCTGAATCTGCATACAGTGTTCCCATAATCAACAGCCCTGTCTCACCAAGGTTCTCAGATATGGGACTTTGGTAAGCACATTCAGCCAAAGATGGGTACAGGTGACTTTTCAGACCTTCATGCTGTAAGTGACTTCTTGGAAGGAGAAGGGAAGGGAGATTGAGAGGGAACATTAGGGCCAGCCTTCCATATGTCCATGTGTCCCTGGTGTTCTTCACTTCTCCATGTTTTTCAGCATAATGGGCTGGTAGGGCTGGTGTCTGTTTTATTTTTTTAAAAAGTTTTAGGAGAAAAATCCCTTCTGCTTTAAAGGTATTAAGGGCTCTCTCTGTCTTTACATCTCACCATCCTAACAAAAGGTACAGATAGTAGAAAAATCAGTGAACAAAACTGGAACACAGGGCATATTCAAATAGAAGTAAATTAAGATCAACAACTGCTTTGGGAATGTTTTGCCTCTTTCTCTCACTTTAAAATCACCACTGTATCAAACAAACAAACAAACAAAAACCCTACAACTCAACATGGATTAACATCATAGCCTGTGATTTCAACATCACAGTTAGGATACCAAATAATGTGCATTGGTATACAGTATTTTCAAATTGTTCAGATTATTGGTAAAAATGGGGCCAAAGAGTGGTGGTGTCTGCCTTTCTGATACCTAACTTAGCTTTCCTGCTTGGCAAAGGCATCTTTTGTTGTGCTTTGATGGCTTTAAAATGACAGCCGCAGGCCGTGATCACTGGTAATCATCCTGTTCACCCCACTCCACTGCTGGATCATCATCCATGCGCAGAATGAGGTAGGAGAGGAGCTGAAAAAGGTTCTGCCACAACAAGAGAGAGACAAAGAAGGAGAGGTCGCTTACATCTATCTCACAGCGTTCGCCGGCATAGTTCATCTCACAGACGCAGTGGAATTTGTTGAGCAGGTTTTGGCAAAGGCCTCCATGGAGGCATGGATCAGACATGCACTCGTTAATGTCCACTTCACACCTGCAAGAGAAAAGTTAGCAATGACTTGGGGCCAACATAAGAGGAAGAGGCAAGTCATTGTTCAGTTGGTGTAGGACCTGAGGAACACATAGCCCATGGGCTCAGGGTCTCTACTGCGAGGAGAAATCGGATGAATTTACTTGATTAGGACCTGGAGGTCCAGAGGGGCAAGGCTTAGGTTTCAATTCTCATTATTATATGAGGACGATAATACAGTATAAACTATGAATTGTGCCTCTGGATATCCACAAGACCAGGGGATTGTGATGCCAGTGCATATGCGGGGAGTACATTACAATTTAGTATTGACCCTGCAAAAATAATACTCAAGGCCTACACCAGCCATTTGTGTGTCGGGGGGCCCCACAAAGCTGTTTTGCAGTCTTCCACTTCTCTAATACCGTGCCACTGAATTTTGGCCAGACACCATTAAACACCATCTAAAATGAGGTTTGAAAAAGCTTGCGTTCTTACTGATTTAAAAGCATGTTCTGATGTAACAAACCACCATGCATGATATTCAAAATAGAGTCTTCTGTCTATGAACACTGTCTGTGTCTGAAGGTTGTGTTTTGAATGCCCCTTTTAAACATTGTAGAAAATAATTGATTTATTTTCTGTAAAATGTGATCGCAGAAGGGTAGTTGGTTCCTGCTGGGTTGTGCTTCCAGTATGAACACTGTGGGACTCAAAAGGTTTCACAAGAGCCCAACATGAATTAAGGGTGGACTGTAAGATATATCTTAGGATCTGTAGCATAGGAGCAAACATGCAAGATTGTTTTGGGTGTGAATGGCTATGGAATAGATTCCCTGAAGTCAAACATTGGAAAAGGTTAGATCTGAAACAGCCTTCCAGAACCCAGTGATTCCGCCATCCCACACATGCTGAATTACTTTTTGCATCATACCCCAGACAGCATGGCCTGCAGTTGATTGAAATGGGCTTTCTGCTTACTTCAATAGAGAGGCAGCTCAACACACACTAAACAGCACCATGGATCTAATGTGAATAGGAAGCATTCATAACAAAGGACCTCAGTTTGTGCATTGCTTTGCGGCTCATGCCTTTTTGCATATGCATCAATGTTCATAAATAATTTGCAGAAGATTGCCAAATACACAAACACGTACATATATAAAGATGCAGAAGGATCTTCGCAGGATGACACAATTGGGGAGATCTCATGCCTGAATGTTTCCCTGTGGCTGTTGTTATTGCCATTACATTGTGTGAAATCCAAGCAACGACCTCCTTTGAGACACTATCAGTAGACAAACATGTCCACTTTGAAGTGGTCTAGTTCTCAAAAACAGAGGCATGAGCTGCTCGTAATTTTTGAAAATGAGCTAACTGAACTCTTACACACCGGAGGGGAGACCATTGTACTTCCATTAGAACCTAATTGTCTGCCACAGTGGCCTGGAAGTGATGGCTGTGGTGCTAGTTTCATTGCACGGCATTCCTGCATGGAAAACAAAGTTCTCCCATCCCTTTGCAAAGGCATCCAATACACTATGTCAAAAGATCTCACCGCCGTCCAGTAAAACCCGGGAGGCACATGCATTCTAAGTGCCCTTGGAGCTCAGTACAGTTGCCATAGTTGTAACACGTGAGATTCCCTTTCTCATTCCCACACACTGTCGAGGGGATCCGTATGCGCCTACAGGGAAACAGCAGTAGGAAATCTGTGAAGTTACTTGTTCCGATTCTTTTTTTTTTTTCAAAGCAAGTCTAGTTTTGATCTTCTGAAAATACATCTAAAGCCCTCAATTGCTTCTATCATATTTCAGCCTCTTTTTGGAATCACTGCATTATCTCTACGTCTGTCTATTTTTGGTCTCATCATTCTCCCCTTGAGGAGACAGAAGGTGGCTTAAAAAAATATTTTAAAGTCTCAAATGATTAAAAGCATACTGATTGGGTTTTTAAAAAAAGAAATCCACAACATACCAATATATTAAGATATTACTTTAAAACTATAATAGAAAGCCCACTATAGCTCCCTTTACATAACATTCCAGTGCTTGACATACTAACTTGAAAGTAAGGATCAGTGCAAATATTACTATTGGCACTAATGGGCCAGGCCAGGCCAGGCCAAAATATTTTGGCCATTTTACCATTTAAGTCAAGATCAATACTTATACCTCATTATTTTAGCAGATGGGCCACAAGATTCCACAAGTCCTTTTCTGACTCCCCATTCACAAGAACATCTCCATCCACAAGAAAACAGCAACAACAAATAACTATTTGCTGCCCTTCCAAGACATAGAAGATTTGCTGTCTGAGGTGGTCACCTCAGGGCAGATCTGCCCTACGGAATGGCTGCTTATAAATTTTCCAGGAGAAGTACAAACAAGAGCCAGCTTGATGATCCTAATGAGAACATGGACTTTCCCCAAGGTTACTTCCTGCTTTTAAGGCCAAGGGAAGTCATCGTTCAGCCACCTGTTTGTCTTTACTAGACTGTCTTGTGTGTCAAGCATAAGGAATTCCCACAGTAACATGGCAATATATTAGTCAGACCTGAGTGTTTTTTTGGTTGCTTCTCCCCATGTAAATGAAATTGAGACTCTGGAATGAAGCATCAATTGCTTAGAGAATTCGGTGTGTGTGTTTTGGACACAAGAAATATATATTCCTTGCCTTTATTCGAAAGAGGACTTTAAAGTGGTATAAATAAAAATTAAAAATAAAGAACAATAAAACCAATTAAAATGTTACCACAATCAGCAAAATTGAGTCAAGTGGCATTCTTAATCCAGATATGCATGCAAATATATACAGTGGAAAATCTCTTTTTAATGCCTACACTAACATAAAGGGGGACGTGGTGGTGCTGTGGGCTAAACTGCAGAAGCCTGTGCTGCAGGGTCAGAAGACCAAGCAGTCGTAAGATCGAATCCACGCGACCGAGTGAGCGCCCGTTGCTTGTCCCAGCTCCCGCCAACCTAGCGGTTTGAAAGCATGCAAATGCGAGTAGATAAACAGGTACCATATTGGTGGGAAGGTAAACATCGTTCCGTGTCTACAGCCAATTAAAATGTTACAACAATCAGCAAAATTGAGAGGCTTAAAAACTTAGTCAAGTGGCATTCTTAATGCAAATATGCATGCAAATACAGTCCAGTGGAAAATCTATTTTAATGCCTACACTAATATAAGGGGTTTGATTTACCACTGAAAATAATACAATGTACAAACCAGGCAAGCCACCTGTCTGAAGGCATTCCAAAGCTGGACTGCCACCAAAGAGGAGGTCCTCTTGTTTGCAAATTATCGGTGCAACACTTTCATAGAAGCCATATAAAGAAGGGCCTTCTCTGATTCATTTAATATATGGGCAGTCTGATATGGGAGGTAGGGCCCCTTCAAATACTTGTGGCAGAAACAATTTAAGGCTTTGACAGGAAGCACCAATGTCTTCAATGGAGCTTGGCAAGTGAATGGGTGACTCCTTCAGAAGTGATGCGATATGTTCCCCCCTAAGCAAATGAACCCAAATATGAGTAGCCAAATTATGCACTAGCTGAAGTTTCCTGAGCAACCAAGCCCTATGAGGAAAGACCAAAAGATCTGGGCATTTTCGCCTTGTGAAAAGAAGACTGAGGTAAGATATTATAGCCCTCTTGAAATACTTGAAAGGTTGTCATAAAGAGGAGGGGCAGGATCTATTCTCAATCAGCCCAGAGTGCAGGACACATAATAATGGGGGTGCAAACCACAGGAAGCCAGATTTCAGGAAAAACTTCCTAACTGTTAGAGGAGTACAACAATGACACCAATCACCTGGGTGGTGGCAAGTGTTCCAACAATAGAGACATTTAAGAAAAAGTTTAAATAACCATCTGTCTGATATACTGTACTTTGATATGGATTCATGCATTGGTTGGACTCAATGGCCTTATAGATCCCCTCTGACTCCATTATTCTGTAATACTATTCTTTTTAAGGGTAGCCCCCATACAAACACATCTGGAAATTACATATGCATTGAACATTGAAGTCAGACTATCATTTTGCTTGAAAGGGCCACACATGATTAATAGGATAAAATGGAAAATATTTTACAAGCTAACATTACCTTAAGAGATAATGCTGTCTCTAAGGGAAATCTCGGGATTGCTTTCTTGTGGGGAATGAAACTGCAATACAGCTTGCCATATTAAAGAACTACAATATCCACACTCTTTGCTCTTGCCAGAATTGAATATGTTGGCCCTCAACATATTTAGTTTAGACTATGACTAAATCTAGACAGCAATTCAGCAATGCAAGAAACTCTCCTAAAAACCAAAACTGAGTATCACCAGTATGCTAAAGTTACTGTAAATCCCCAGATTACTTCAACTAGCTGGTTTACTATACAGTGGACCCTCGACCTACAGATGGCTCCACTTACAGACTTTTCGAGTTACAGAGTTCTCTGGCTGCAAAATTTAGGTTCGACTTGCAGCCAGAGAATCGACCTACAGACCGGGGGGGAAAAAACAAACCAAAATGGAACAAAAACAGCCGGTTACGGATTAATCTGTTTCCAATGCATTGTAGATCAATGGAGCCTCGACCTACAGACTTTTTGACCTGTAGCCACTGTTCCAATACGGATTAATTCCATAAGTCGAGGGTCCATTGTATATAGAATTTGGATCACAGGACGGACTGTGGGATTTCAGAATCCATATGCAGTGGAGCTGAGCAACAATCTCTGCGATGCTATTTTCTGAAAGCAACCTAGCATCAGTTCACCATAATCCCCATTCCCTCCACAGGGCCAGTTCAACAGGGAACCGTGGTGAACAGTGTCAAAATTTGAGAGACAGAGAACCAAGAGGTTGCACATCTTTTTGACTCTGATCTGAATAAAGGCCATTCAGCAGGGTGACCAGAGCAGTTTCCATGACAAATAATGACCTAATCCAAAACTTAAATTGGTTTAGTTAATTTGTTGCAAGCAAGATTGCCTATGATTAAACTGTCACAACCACCTGGAGCACCTTATTTAGAAGGAAGCTGTTTCTAATTATCTGAGAGTAACTAAAATCTGGCTCCAGCAAGAATTTCTTTAGTGGCGTCTTCTTCAAGCCACTGAGCCTTTCAATGAGACAATAATAATGTCCCCATTGGCTTCATGTAACTTGCTGAGATGGGCAAGGGTTGTGATTACAGGTGGCTGGATGAACCTCTCTGAACACACTGTCTCCCATGCTGTATCATTTAGTGTTGACTCCATAAAACTGGACCAGACATGCATGAAAGCAGCTGTTCCAGAACTGTATCAATAATGGAATTGTGATCAATGTAAATATGAGCAACTTTATTGTCCTAGGACTGCTCTGTACATTCCAGTATAACTTTCCAGGGTACAGATGTAGTAACCCCTTAAACTTTAGAAAAGCTTCTGCTGGGTGGCTAATGGTGACAGAGAAGTAAAGTTGCTTTGCCATTTTTATTTCCATAAAGGAGCAACAGTGATGTGTCCTCATCTCTCTATGTTGCATGGCATGCTCAGCATCCCCCCACATATCATGTCTCCCAAACTGTTGCAATTTAAACTGTAAACTCCTTGTGCCAGGAGGAGGCTTGGAGGAGGGCATATTTGGGGGTTTGCTTGTGTAATTTTGCAAAATATCACATACAGTGATGGTCATGTCTAAGTAATCACAATTAGTAAATTAGGGTGTGTTGAATATATGTCCACAACTTTACCTGATTTCCTCTCAATGCAACTTGCAGTAGTGCAATTGCTAATCAAGGGTTTGTTCAAGGTTTAATGACAGCCTCATTTAAGGCTCAGAAGTGAATGATACTCATAATGGATGAACGTCTTCATCATACTTCGCTACAGTACCTGCAATATGTTCCGGTAAAATTCTCAGGGCACAGACAGGAATAACTATTAATCTCATCTATACAGGTAGCCCCATTTGCACACAGATGCCCGCGACAGTCATCTATGTCTTCCTCACACCTTGCCCCCGTGTATCCAGGATCACATACACATTTGTACAATGTAATTCCATCACTGCAGTTTCCATGCACACAAGGGTTTGATGTGCAGTCATCAATGTTGATTTCACAGTGGGTTCCGGTGTATCCATCAATACATGTGCAATGATAATAAGTATAGAAGTCTTCACACACTCCATCATGCATACAAGGGTTTGAGCTGCAGGCCTCCAGCTGAGGACAGCCAGTGATAACAGAGTTGGCAGATATTTTGAGGAACTGCTCTTCCTGTGGTTTTTTTGTATAGCCATCAGCACTGTCAAAGTAGGAGAGATAGATACCATCAATCTCTACGGTGCTCATGCACCCTCTCAGTCCATCCAGATTGTCGAAAGCTTTGTCAGCTAGGTAGATATCTGTCTCTTCTCTCAGGAAGTTGAGGTTTCCAGTGGCAACTGTACTTGTCACACCATCTTTCTCATCATCTAGATCAATGCGCCATCTTGAAGACTGAGATAAGGGTTCAATCATTGAGAAGGTCACTTGGTGCCACTTCCCATCACTCACTGGCTGAGAAGTGGTTAGGCTCAGTGTATAGAAGCTGTTGCCACTTTGCAGCTGAAACCTCAGCTTGTTATTCTGGATACCAATAGCAATGAACTCAGGCTCCTTCTCAGCATAAAGCAGTATCACATCTGAGTCTTGAGTCCGAAAGCCAAAGGTTATCTTAGTGAGGTCCCTTCTGATTTTCCCATTACTTCTGTAGAAGATTGCACTGCTTCGGCCATTGAAAATGGCATTGGCAACACCTGGACAGAGACAGCAGAATTCATTAAGCAGAAAAGAGGAGTGTTAATTCTCTGCTGCATTTTACTTTGGTTTTGGCATGTGATATATATGCACATGCTCAACAGTGAAAGAAACATATAAGTAAACGCTGAAGACAAGGATGTAAGGTTTCTTTATTAAACCACCAAAATATCACAGGCAAAAGCTAGCTTTTGACTTTGTGAGTGTTCTAATCAGGCTTGGCATTACAAAGCTGGGGATGTAGAAGAAAAACGAACATTCCAAAATTGTAGAAGAAACGCAATTGTAGAAGAAACATAAATGTTCCAAAATCCATGGCCAGATGTGTGAGCCAGGTTTCTTTCTTTAAAGCCATTTCCAAAATAGGGGCTTCAAGGTGAGCTCAGCAGTGGTAGATTTCAAATTTCACCTCTGACAGCATGGATTAGAATGGCCTTTTCAAGTTTTTTAGATTAAAGTAACAGTACCACTCTATTGCAGTGTTTTAGTGGTCTAATATCACTTACCCTTGCCTTTGGACTGTGAAAAAGGACCACACAGTGCTCTCATTCTCATTTCAATCAATCAATCAATCAACCAATCATTCAATCAATCAATCAAAAAATAAGTACATAAGTAAGTAAAGTAAGTAAGTTAGTAAGAGGACATAGTTCATGCTTTGTATGGAGAAAGTGACAGGGCATCTTCAACCAGAATCAGCCTTCCACAACATCGTGTCTTCTTCTATAGGTACTGGACTGCAGATCCTGTAAATGACACTGTCACCTACAGAGGTTCTAGGAGCGACTATCTAATAGATGGAGACAGAGGCTGGGAGTTTGATTCCCTACTGTACCTCCTGTGCAGTAGAGCTAGCGTGTGTGGCCTTGTACAATCTACACAAACCCAGGATACTGCCAGAAGAAGGGAATGGTAAACTACAGGGGTCGATTATCTCCCCAATGCTGTTCAACATTTATATGAGGCCACTGGGTGGAGTCATCAGGGGGTGTGGGGCACTGTGTCATCAGTACGCTGATGCCACCCAGCTCTACATCTCATTTCCGCCTACTGCAGGAGATGCCGTCCTGTCCCTCCAGCGCTGCCTGGAGGCTGTACTGCAATGGATGCAGGAAAATGGGCTGAGGCTGAACCTGGACAAGACGGAGGTTCTGAGGGTGGGTGCCCCCACTATCGATGGCTTGGGTGACTCTCTCTCATTTGGGGGGGTTACCGTTGCCGCAAAGAGTGGGGTCCGCAGCCTGGGGATCCATATGGACCCGGTGCTCACCATGGAAACTCAGGTGGCGTCGGTGGTCCATTCCGCGTTTTTCCATCTCTGGTGGATTGCCCAGCTGCGACCCTCCCTCGATATGGGGGCGCTCACCACCTTGGTACATGCACTCATAATCTCCAGATTAGCCCACTGCAATGCGCTCTACGTGGGGCTACCTTTGAGGTTGACGCAGAAGCTCCAAGTGGCGCAGAATGCGGCGGCCAGACTCCTTAGTGAAGCGAGAAAATTCCACCACATTTCTCCAATTCTGGCCACAAGGGAGGCCCAGAAGGAAAAAACAAGAAACCGGGCCTTCTCAGCGTTGGCTCCTCGCCTCTGGAACAAACTACCTCTGGAAATTTGCTCAGCCCCCTCACTGGGTATCTTTAAGAGCCAATTAAAAATGTGGATGTTTCGGCAGGCCTTCCCTCCAGCTAATCCCTAATGTTTTCCTTGTCCTTCTCTACCATGACTCACTTTGTTTGCTCTCCATCTTGCTAATGTGTCTACTGTATAATAATGCTTTTTAAATGTATTCATGTATTTTATGCTGTAAGCCGCCTAGAGTGGTCATAACTGACCAGATAGGCTGAATATAAATAGAATAAATAAATAAATAAACCACTTCTGAGTACTCTCTACTTAGAAAACCCTAAAAAGGGTTCCCATGAATCAGAATTGACTTGAAGGCACATGATTATTCACCATAAGAAACCTGCAGTTGATCAACATCCAAAAGATTGTCGTCTGGAAGGCCTGGAGACAGAGATGGGGAAAGAGAGAGACATCTAAGGACAGCCTGTGGGATAACTTAACTCCTGGCATTGTGAAATGTGGGTCACACCAGCACTGAGAAAAGCTGTGGCTGATTTTATAACCTCCTGAACTGTATACAATGAAAGGAGGATGGCATCTTGATAATTACAAGAGTTTTTTTCTGTCTTTCTTGCACTTAATGTTACAGTGGTGCCTCACTTGATGAGGATAATCCGTTCCAGCAAAATCGCTGTTAAGCGATATCCTCGTCAAACGAAATAAAAAATCCCATTGAAATGCATTGAAAACCTGTTCAATGCATTCCAATGAGCCAAATAACTCACCGTCCAGCGAAGATCCTCCATAGGGCAGCCATTTTCTGCTCCCTGTCTTGCGAAAAAGCCTTCCTAAAGACAGCGGTGAGCCATTTTGTACACCTGGTGGCCATTTTGAAACCTGACGATCAGCTGTTTTTGATCATCGTAATGCAAAGAATTGGTTCCTGAAGCAGGGAACCAATCATCGCAAAGCAAAAAAAACCCTTTCAAACATTGTTTTGTGATCACAAAAACTTCATTGTGAAGCAGATTCGTCATCAAGCGGGGTAAGCGTTAAGTGGAGCACCACTGTATATGTATATATACTCATGGATAATTGGTCTTAATGTTTCATACTTAATGAAAATACAAAATCCTGAAATGGCTTCTTCACAGTATTCTTGCTCTTTAACAGAACCTTTGAAGTTGATTTTTTAAAAGCTATTGCAGGACCACAGCTATTACAATATGTATTGGTAATGTCACAGGCACTAGTCAATTCATACCCACTTAACACAATCAGAGAAGCAATCAGCCTCAGGTACAGAAGAAATGGGAATTGGTAGTAAACAGATGTCTCTATTATTACCTGACTCATAGGCAGTTCATGATCTGGGCAGAAGGGACATCCCTTACATTCTGGGCTGAGTGAAGCGGAACCTCTTTCCTGTCAAATACATTTATTCTTTCCCATGACATAGGCATATATAATTGCTCAAAAGCTCAATTTTATTGTGATCTTTTTTGCTCTTTAATTACTTAAACAGCTTGAATAGAGTAGCACTATCTTCCCAATGTTAAAAACAAAGGAAACAAACCAACAAATAAACAACAGCCATCACAAAATGTCAAGAGGACTGAGGCTCTCTATTTACCCTGAAGTGGTTCTGAAAACTGGCGCTATGTTGCTGAATTCTTGAATGGTAAAGAACATTACTGGGCAACTTGCTTTTGTCATCGGACGTTGCAAGCTCATAACCTGTAATTTCTATCTGCCCTTAGGTTCTTATGGGCTGCAAATCAAATCAAGCAAATATAAGAAATAAGTAACTGAATGAATAAATACTTGCATTCAAATCCTTGATGAACCAGCTGGCATTGGGCTTCGTGAGGGCACGGACCGAGCTCACACCACTTCACTTCCTCGCAAGCTTTCCCAGCCGTATTTGGTGGACAAGTACAAGTGAAGTCATCCCAAATGGAATAGCAAACACCTCCATTCTGGCAGGGGCTGGACTGAATAGGAGAGACAGAAGTCTGTTGTGAGCAAACACCTCTGCTTTTGCAATCAAGGAAAGAAAGAAGGCTTCTTCTCTTACTAGACCCTCTTGCTTACAGGGGAAGATTGAATACTCCCGTTATATCATCACTTTGCTCACATGAAGTGGAGGGTAATCCATTAAAACCCACAACTGTTAGTCTTGAAGATGCTTGGTTGGCTTTGCCTTTATAATTTCTTAAGAGTGGATAAACTAAGAAATGCAAATATTTCTCTATATAGTACTAGACTATAGACCTTGGAAATAATGTATTAAAATAAAGTCTTTGCTTGGAATTCATTACTTTGGGCATAATGCCTGTGTACTTTGAGGGTATATTAAAAGTAACATGGTAGGTGATAATGCCATTACATTTTTTATTTTTTGGTGTAGTAACTGCCACTTCCTTATTTCTCATTGCTCATGGGGAGGATTGCTGGTTATTTTTCTACTTTTAACTGCTTTTAAAAATATTGATGAGGAAAAAATAACAAGTAATTATTTCTTGTAATGATTGTGAATGGTGTTTTTTTTTTTAGTAGTGAAGAATGTTAATGAGTTTTATTTAAGAAAGAAGCATTGATTTACTTTTGGAAAGAAACTTGCTGGAATTTTGTTTGCAACTTTGCATGCTGTCTGTGGCTTGTGTGACTGGGAGGAACTAACCAATCGTTTCTTCCAGTCTTTGATTTCAAAGAGTCCTGCCTTTCTGCTGAGTGTTCCTTTCCCTCTATTTTGTCTGTAGGAGGCAGTTGTTTGTTTATTGTTGATCTGTTTGGTTGGTTGCTAAGTAGCATGCAATAAAGAAAGCATAGACAAGCAGCTTGTAATCACAAGCAACTGTAAGTAATGTTTTTTATTCTTTCTCCTACAAATGTCTCAGAGTGATTCACTGAAACTTTCAGCACCAGTTAATGAGAAAGGGATGGTCTCTGGGGAACTTGTAGCTATTATCCTCTGTTGATCTAGTACTTCCACTGTATAACAAAAGTGACTTAAGGTTTAGGATGCCCAACCTGTAGGCTGTGCTGGGAGAAACACACATGATCTAGGCTGTGCTAGGAGAAAAGGAATAGGAAATGCACTGCCTTTGTTCCTGGAAGTGTGATGGTTTATTCTGAAAAAAGAAAGCAGAGCAAGCCTATGAAAAGGAAGCAGCCATGATTACAAGTAAACATCTTCCAAAAATAGTATAACATAAACTAACAGCTCTTTTGTACTAATCAAATACCTCATCAACATGCAACTCAGAGAAGACTATGTTCTACAAACCCTAGTATTAACTCTCATGTAACTCACAGATGGTATGTGTTTACTGTATATATTTATAATTTTACACAATGTTAAATGAAGGATGTGTGATTCCTTGTACAGTAGCTCCAAGACCTGTGGAGTATGCATTTGTATCTATGCAAAGAGATAACATTCCTTTCCACTTTGACATTTTATGGGCCTCATTACCAGATCCAATGTTCATAACATACCGTATGATTACTCTCATCCAAAACGCTAGTATTACAGTAATTATGGGAATATGTTGGTTTGAAAACTACAGTGAGTTCAAGTTGCCCTTAATGAGTAGCAGGCTAACTGGTTATCATTACCTTTCCATTTAAGAGCGGTGTTTCCAGCCCCCCAGATGTTTTGTGGTATTGGCAACCACAAATTGCAAGACCGCATGGCAAAATCTGATCTTACCTGCCTGTTTCGGATATCGCATTAAGATATTCTTACTGTCACATGCTGTTTGGGACCGCTGTGAGTTCAAAAGAAAATTCCTTGCTGGAAACATGGAAACGGCTCTTTGAGAAACAGCATCCTTACCTTGCAGAGGTTGTCTCCAGCGCAGCCTGGGGCTATGTTGATCAGTGCGCTCTTGCTGATGACAGATTTCTCTGAAGTAGTGACAGGGAAGAATTCCAGTGGTTTGTTGTTCAGTCGTAAATCTTGGATGCACCCTTTGAAATACCCACCATTTACATGGGTTTCTTGGTCCTCTGGTAATCCACCGATGTAGATAATATCTCCCCTCTGGATTTTTATCATAGGTGTAAGAAGAAAACCTAGGTTTTGTGTTGAGTGGAAAAGCTCCATTTTATTTGGTTCTATTTTTAAAGATATTAAATAGAAATTTCCATCATTCACAGCTTGAGATCCTTGGAATTTGTTGGAGCTAGGACCTGACAGGATGAGTTTCCCATCTTCTAGCTGGATCTTAAGAAGTAGGAATGTGCTTTTTTTCAGAGCTAGTAACAAGCCAGAAGGCTGGCGTGTACGGAGAAACATTGATATAGTCACACTTTCGTAATCGCTACCCTGCACAGTAAAAGCAGCATAGCCTGTGGATTCCTCATGTCCAAATCTTCCTGGAATGTATTCTTGAGCCCATGTAACAAAGAGAAAGAGACAAAATGACAAATTTTAAGAAGGGAACATTGATGGAAATGTAACCATGCCACACACCAAAAACCAGAAGAACTTGTATCATGTATAACTGAATAATTGGTTGCCCTTTCAGCAGTGAAATAACACTTGTCTTGTGCCTGAAATTTCAGTATTGTGAGTGACCTAACTCATTGGCATGTAGGGCTGCTATATATTGAATTCGGTTGTCTCCTTAGATGGGGCCAGGGTCTGAACCAATGTGTATGGCATTGGGAGGATTTGGACAAACAGAAATCTAGAAGAATCTGGTAGAGCAAAGGCAAAACCAGGATGGATTCGGGAGAAATAGGGGCAACACTAAGAGGAAATGTGCAGGGACTGGAACAATCTGGAATGTAGTGGATTGTGGTGTCTTTTTTTTCAGATTCCAGTAATGACTTTCTGTTAAAACATTATTTTATGGGTAAGCTCAGTAAAATGCCAAATAGCTGGCAATCTTAGTAGCGTCAGCACTTTTAATAGCAGACTCGATCAGTGAATGTCTTGATGTTTTCAAACAAAATGATGTAGTAGGGATAAAAGAGAGAAGTTATGGGTAGAATCCTATTGAAGATTTATGCTTGCATAGCAGCAAGTTGCTGTGGCAAACTTCAGCTCATTAATGAGGTGCTGGTTGCATTCCTGGGTGAGTGCTCAATCATGCAGCTGCTTGCCAAGGATGCAAACAGCACCTTGTTAATGAGCAGCAATTTGCAGTCAAAACTTGTTTGATTTCCCCTTTTGCAAGCATAAATCACCAATGGGGTTTCCCCCATTGTTCTTCCTAAGAATTTAGAAACATCAGCAAAAAATAAAATAAAATAAAATAAAAATAAAAAAATAAGGAGGCAATCCCATTTCTGGCAAAACATGATTTATGCTTGCCGCAGCGAGCATCAGCAGTGAGATAGGGGTGTCAGCCTTTTCGACGTGACCAGCCTGTTCTGCTCAGTGGGAAGCAGCGGCGCTCCGGCCCGCCTCTTGTCTACGCAGAGCTCACACATGCACACTTTCGCACTAGTGCCAGTCACAGGGTGATGCAGGGGTGGGCCAGAGGTGCTGCAGCCACGCTGCGGCCGTACAATGGTGACAATGAATGACACCTTTTATCTGGTGTATGGAAGGTGTGCGGAAGAGGGGGGTAGTCTTATATGGCGAGTATATGACAAACTATATTTTGAGTGGAAATGTTGGAGGGTCATCTTATACGCCCAGTTGTCTTATATGCCGGCAAATACGGTAATAACTGGTGGTGTTGTTACTTTTAATAAGGAATGTTAAGTGATTATTTCTAAAATGTTCAGATTTATGATCCAGGGATTCTCATTATGATGTACATCGGAGGCAATCCCATTTCTGGCAAAACAGCAAAACTGCTCTGAGAATGCTGAACATCTATTGGGAGAGAAAATGGAAAATCATGGATGGAGTAAAACAGATCGGACTGGGTATGTAAGGCAGTGAGGTTGGCTGGCTAGCTAGCTGGAGCAGTGAACAGGAGGCTTCCCCACTGTGACATTTTGTTGCAAACCCAGTTGTGTTTGTTATGCTGGCATTTGTATATTTTTCTGGAGATGGATGACCATCTGAATTCTTCAACACTTCATACCACCCATTTGGAAGATAAATCAAGGATTCACGTTAAAAGCAACAACACTGCCTATAACACATTACTTTTCAGATATGAGAAGTATATCATCATTCTTCATCGTCATCATTTTGCAAAACAATGTAATAACTGGTGGTGTTGTTACTTTTAATATGTAGTAAGTAATGTTAGGTGATTACTTCTAAAATGTTTGGATTTATTATCCAGGGATTCTCATTATGATGTACATCAGGTTCACAAGGTGGTTTCCTCTCAAAGCTGTTATCATTCTTCCCTGATGCCTTGGAACATGAAAATCAGAAAGAGCATCACACATAACCTATGATTTGCCACTTTACAGATGTCAATAACGTGGAAGTGCTTCCAGTTGTCACATCAGGAAATGTATTTATCAGTTTAGAGCAACTGATAGGAAAATCTTCAAAACCATATGGATGAATACCATCATGTGAAGTTAGTTTCCACAAAAGTCTGGTGTTGCTGTCCATCAATATGAAAATGGCAGCATGGGATGGTGGAATTTAGGGCAAATTTTGTAAACCAGAACTGAAGTCTAAATAGCTCAAATAACTTTTAGAGTTGAAAGTCTTTTTAAAAATAGAGATTGTGAAGATTCCAAATTCAGTCTGAGATTTGATAAAGTTGTCTTGGTCCATACTTCTTAGGCTGTCTGTACGCTAGATGCAATCTGGACTCGAGTCCTGAAGTAGATGGCCAGTAGCACATGTGGCTGCCCAAACATGCACATTGGGAATCACACATAGGAAAAAATATGGTCACATCAAAGGTGCACAAAGTACTGCTAAAACAGGCTTGGTCAAAGTGTGCACATGTGAATGCATGTAAGCATTTTTTTAAAAAAGTGTGCAAAATGCATCTGGTGGGAGTACAAAACAAGGGTTTTTGCCTCTCCCCCCCCCCCAAGAACAACAAAACCTGGTACAGAGTGGTAATGGTTCTTGAAAAGAAAGTCCATAGGTGCAGACTTTGTAAATATACACTTATCAATTAAGGAGTGGTGGTCCGTGGGGTGCTGTTTGATGTCTCATTTAGTGCTTTGCTATAGACAGCAAAATGTCTCAGGTCACGACAACTCCTAAGCTGCAGCATTGATAGATGAAGTGGACCTAAATCAACAATGACAACTGCTCATTCTAATCTAAAATCTTCAATGCACTACTGTTCATATATTTGAAACAGCATGAAGAGCATCAAATGGGTTTAAACCACCAACAACCAAACAGCTGTTCACAAGCTCCCTAGTCAGACTTTTATTTAAAAGAAAAACAAAGAAATGAACAAAGCAAGAACTTTGTGTCTGACTGAGATCTCCACAGGTTTTGTTTTTTTTAACTTTTCTGCCTCCAGCATTTTATTTTAATGAAAAGATTACAGGATCCATAAAACAGGGACATTCACCGTGGTACTCTTCCTTCTAAATATTACAGGCTTCATATATGTATCAGCCTTTTTAGGAGAAAAAAATTAAATCCCTATGTTATTTCTCAATAGACAGTTTCATAAATAAGAAATGAAAATGAATTAATTTTGTAAATGAGGCTATTTTATCTTATATTTCCTTCCTTATGAGATTCTTAAAAATATGGCACATATGCCTAAATCTCCACATACCCCCTGGGTTGAAATGGGTGTTTCTAAGCATGAAAGCGTGTGTGTGCATATTCTCTCTCTCCCTCCCTCCCTCCCTCCCTCCAACTTCTCTCTCTATTAAGGACGGAACTTGAAAGACATTTTTTATGTTGAAGAGAAAAATGCTTCTGATTCAGCAAAGCCAGCAAGTAGCAGGAAGAGTCGCAACATTACAAAGAGAGGCAAAGGAAGGAAGGTTAGTCTTCAAAAAGGTAGCACGGTGCGCATGCAGTTTTCAATTACTTTGCTTCAAAAGAATTACTGGATCTCATCTGTGGTTTGATGGGCCTTTAGTATAACCTTGGTCAATATTAACCTCTTGAGCCATTACATCTGGATGCTGATGAAAATAAATCAACATTTCTCGGCTTTCTTTTTTTTTCTTTTTTCTGTGTTGCAAAAATGTGGTCCTGCACTTATTGATTTATCATAGATTATTTAACAAAGGTGCTTGCTTTTCTATAGCACAAAATATGATCTTTAAAATCCAGAAAGAGGGGGGCAAGGCAGAGGTGAATCTAATCTACCGTTTGGATTTGTGTTGCATATTATGGACACAAGCTTTAATTAGTACTTTAATCAACAAATGCTGCAGTCCTAGAAATAAGGGGCTTATAATTTTGCAGATATATATAAGTCTGGCTGTAAAGAGTTGGCTGATGAGTGAGAAGTCATTTTAATTTATGACATTGCAATATAAGAGGACATCAAGTTTTCCAATTTAAAACATTTATTTGACTTTATATTTTTAATTTGATTATGGTGCATTAGTTTAACAAGGGACGGAAAAGGGCATAGTAACAGTGATCTGGTGTTCTACAAATTATTTGCAATATGCTCAATCAAGTGTATGTTTATTTGAATGTTAACTTTGTAGCACCGATGGGGGTTTATCACATTGCAAATGTAGCTTATTAAACTTTAAATTATGTTTTGCTTCCAACCATATATCAAAAAGTCACTTATTTTGTTTAAATGTTATTGATTAATCATGATAACACTGGCTATCTTGTTTGTGTATGTCTATGGACATATGTGTGTATGTCACATCAGTAGAGTTCAAAAGTTTGTGTGGATGCACATGCAGGGGAGAATGAGATCATGTTGGGGGCTCTACCACACGTCTGTTCAATATAGACCAACATTCCATTGGGATTTTACATGTGCTCAAAAAGAATCATGGAAACTGCAGTGGCTAACTGACAAGGTGCTGAGTATGTGCTGGGCATGCAACCAAACATGCAACCCAACACATGACTGCCATGGATTAGAGATGTCTGCTTATTAAGCATTCCTTTACTTGTGTGGATAGTGTTTGTGTACATTGGCTCTGTCAAACATTACACTGGACACTTGTAGGAGTAAGAGGGTCTTTCTCATAACTTGAAAGAAAAGAGTTACAAGTAACACAGTTATCTGGAAGCTGAGTCATGGCAGCTGGACTAAGCTGCATTAACGAAGGGAAAAATATGTACAAAGTGGCTCTGTGGGTCATTGTCCTGATGGCAATTTTTAGAGTATCTATTTTAATTGTATTTTAATTGTTTTATCTTTTATTGTATTTTTATTGTATCTTAATTGTTGTAAGCTGCCCAGAGACTTTTGGGCAGAGTGGGCGGCATATGAGTTAAATAAATAATAAAATAAATAAATAAATAACAGGGGCTCCTTCCAGCCTCTGCTCTTGCCATCTGGTCTCACACAAACTTGCCTTCACACATAAACATCTACATATGAGGACTTTCCATCTACATGAATGCAAGAGCAGAGATGGGTTTTTTTCTATGTCATCAAAGCCAGGATGACAAATGTTGGCCATGGGGCCCTTCTTTAGATTATTACATGAAGTCAGTGGGGTTGTTCTGATGCTAGGGTGCCAGTGCCTTTTATAAGTGAAAATATGTTTGTGATATATAGAGATTAAACCCAAGGTGGTGAAGTTCCAGGTGACTAGGTAATATGAAGAGGCATAACTGTTTTGAGGTGTGTTTAATTTACAGATGGGAACTTTGTTTTCAAAGTTTCTTCAAACTCAAGTTGTCTCCAACTAAATTTCATGTCTATGGAGGAGAGCACCCTACCAATTTTGAAAGTTCTTTGAGTGAGTGAAACAGTAAATAAGCCTGTCAGGTTCTCCCAATCTCTCCTATAAAGCAACAATTGTCAGAGACCCTGATGGAAGCCCTGAGACTGGAGCTCAAATAACCAAACACATGCAAGCCGTTTTGGTGAAACTTTTGGCCACAGCTTTATCGTTACAGCTGCCAATGGCCAATGGCACTAGCATAGGGGACAGATCCTCATCAGCTACTCCACCTGGTGTCCAATACAAACCAAGGAGACAGACATAGGGTTAACCACATGGACACAGGCCACTGTATCGCCTTGTCTGTTCCCAGGTGAGTGAGGGGCATACAACAGTATATATAGGATCACTCCACCACTACCCCGCCCCATAGAGGGGGTGTGAAGGGATGCAGGAGGAGGCAGCTGGAGGAGGGGAAGAAAGGAGCAGAATTGAGAAGGCAACAGGTCTCTGCCCATCTTGGAAACAGAGGATGCCAGAAGCCATCTACCCTTACCAGGTTTATAGATTTGTGATGGAAACCAGGCACTGGAGACTCCAGTCACATGCTTGAACAAGGCTATGTTCACCTGGATGCTAACACAGCTCTGAAAAGGTGAGGGGGGGACCACGAGAGATCAGCTGCAGAGACTTTCTTGTGGTAATTTATACAAGCCTTCTCTAAAAGGACCACTTTTTGTATCTAAGCTTTCTCGTTCTTCCTGACTTCTAGAACCTGGACTCTGAGGGAATTCCAGTTAACTAACTGTGCCCCACCCCAAGCTGACAAGTAATTTAGAGACTACAACTCAACCCTATGGGACTGTGGGGGGAAATGCTGCTGTAACTTCTATAAAAACGAATAAGAGTCAAGAAGCTGAGATGGAGTCCATGGAGTTATTAACAGGAGCCCCCGACTCTGCTGGGGAGGGGGCTGGTGAGGCATACAGGGGGCCAACATGGAGGGCATCCCATGCCTGCAGTGCTGTACTACCACCACCTGAATCAGTCCCCAAGCTTCCCAACCAAGCTGTGACATGAAGCCAGAGTATGTGTTCCACCTCTTTGTTGACTAAGCACATAAGCTACCTGCTTAGAACAGCACTTTCAAGAAAAGTTCCAAACAGCTCAGGGTGGGTGGGAGGGAGCAGCTCCAGGAGACAAAGAGAGCTTTAGGTGGCTAGCAATGTTTTTTACCACCACCCATAGCAGCTAGATGTCCCATCCAAAGATTACCTGTCCGCCCAGCAAAATACTCCCACCCTGTCAGCCTTTCTAATTGGCTAAATTCAAAACCAAGGGCAGGAACAGCCCTGGGAGGAAGAAGTGTCTCCAAGATGGTGCCCGCTACTCTGGCTGGCTGGCTGTGATGTCACAGATGCTGAGAAAACATGGCCGCCAGGTGTGTTCTGGATGCTTGTGCCCCAGTGTATATGGTGCGGAGGCATACATATATTATTGAATCAAAATGGTAAAGACGCACTGTACTGAGAAGAATAGTCAGGAGGAAGAAGATGTCTCAGACACTTTCTAATCATTTGAAATAGCAGAAGCAGAGGCCTCTCTTGGAGCTGGATGGTTTTAATTTTGCGTCATATAAAGAGGCAAACATATTCATCAAATGTAGTCCTGTTTTCCAAAGTTGGTTTTGAAACCTTCAGATAAAACACTGCTGCACTTCAAAGCCATCTGTTAGGATTATGGTTCTAGCAATGTCATTTTGCAACAACAACAATAATAACTGCAGCAACAATGGCAATAGTAATGATGACGATGACAACGACAACGATGTGTGTGTGCTGTGAAAAGCAGAATATGAACTAAAATAGTATTTTAAAAATACTGGAATCTAAATGAAGCTTTATGAACAATGAACCCCTAAGCTCTAGACCAGATATCACCTGCTGTAAATCCACATAGCTCTGCTAAATTCAGTACAAATGTGCAATATTACATCTGCAACAGATACATTTTGGATCTAACCTGTTGTTAATAACAATGCCTTTCATGTCCATCTGCTCCTTTGGGCTTTGTTTTTTTCTTGTGATGTTTCAATTTTATTTGGGTTAATGCTATCTATTTTCTTAAGGATAAATATATCTGAAGGAACCTTTGGTGGACTTAAATATATTTCAGAAGTATTCTCTCCATCTCACATCTTTACAACCTGCTTTTGCCATACCTGCTCAGGTGTCTTACTCCCAGGACAATCCTCTACATAGAAAAATAAGATGTAGTCTGAACTATATATGTGTTGCAGGATTGCAACTAGAGATGGGCATGAATTAAAAAAATGAATCACCAAATTCATTAAAAAATAACTAATTTGTCAATTAGTCTTAGTACGAATCAATGCCCTAATGAATATGAATGAACAATTATTTAGTGATTTTGATACATTGATTCATTGGACTATAAAGTGCCCCCCCCCCGGGACCAAGAGACACCAGAATTGCAGGGAAGCTTCCTCTTATTCTCCTCTACGATCTACCCATGTTTGGTAAAGATTGGGTTTCAGATGTCCAGGTCATAAACCCACAAAGAGCACCCCTAGGAAAGTTCCCTCCAGGCACCTAGAAGCACGAAAATGACAGAGAAACTTCCCCTGACTCTCCTCTACAATGTCTCCCAGTTTGCTGAAGATTGGGCTTCCTCAAGCCAGGGCATTTTCCTGGGGGAACCCAATTTTGGGGTGTATAACCTGGATGTCAGAAACCCAATCTTCACCAAACGTGGAGGGATTGTAGAGGAGGAGAGCTAGGGGAAGCTTCTCTGTGATATTGATGTCTCTAGGTGTCCCAGTGGTTAGGCACAAGAGAATGCTAAATGACAGGGCCAAAACATTTTCCTTATCCCAGCACAGAGGAAGGTTCTAGTAGGAACCTTTTTCTCTGTTATTCATATTCTCCAGCAATCTTGGAGCCTATCTGATGACAATTGGTCACTGGAAGGTAAGCAGTGGGCTTCATTTTGCATGTTGATTGAACAAACACAGCAGCATTAGAGAATTTATCTCTGGACTGATAAAATTTCATCACCTTGGTTACTTCTGCCCCTAGAACACACAGTGGGTAATAACCGCTGCTTACCCCTGCTTTAGTCATTGAAGCTATTTCCATCTTCGCCTGGGATAGCTATATGCATATCTAGCAAATTGAATATCTGCTGCTCCCACTCTGGAACTCGCTCCCATGGGAGGCCAGACTGGCCCCATCTTTGCTGTCACAAATGGGTGAAGATCTTCCTCTTTAGGCAGGCTTTCCTTAGACTGGCTGTCTAAGCAAGTTTTTAAAATGGGACGGGATGTATTGTTTTGCTCTTAAATCTATTTTAGTAATGCTTTGACCTAACATTTATATCATATTTATTTAATTCTTTAAAAATATTTGAATAATATACTGCTTTTAGCTTTTAATACTGTGTTTGTAATGATGTCAGCTGCCTCGGGCCCTTTTTAAGGAGATAGGCAGGGTAAAAATATTATAAATAATATAAATATATCTTGCACAAAGCTTTTCTGTGAAAAATGTAAGAGGGCTGGGAGAGAAATGCTTATGACTAGGGTGAATTTCATTTAAGTCAAATTTATTTAAATCACAATTCAAATCACAATTTAAATTTTAAAAATTGGATTTGTTGATGATATAGATTTATATTTTGATTTTGATTTTATTTATTTATTTATTTATTCATTCATTCATTCATTTGATTTAGACCCCCTAGACAGCGTCTACTCGGGGTGGCTGACCCCCCTAGACAGCGTCTACTCGGGGGTGGCTTACAAAATCTTAAAATATCATTAAATAACAATAAAAGCATCACAATAAAAAATAAACAACATTCATAATCATAAAAACATTTGAACAATAATATAGTGTGATCAAGATGGGGAATAAAAGAACAGAAAGATAGAATTCAAGAATTGACAGGAGGGAAAGGCTGCCTGAAGAGCCAATTTTGTAAATGTCTCTTACATTTAAATTGTGATTTTAAATAAAATTGATTTTAAAAATATCATTGATTTTTATCTACCCGGCTTGTGACATAGCTGTTGTAAAGCATTCTGCATTTTAACCATATATGTTCTACAATATGACCTCAAGTGGCAATTAAGGTTCTGGTATGGTGCAGTTTGCCTTACCTGTAGCACAAGCTGGCCCAGTGTAAGGTCTGTAGCAGTCACACTGATAGCTCAGCCACAAGTTCATGCAGCGCCCTTTGTTTTGACATGGGTGGTGTTCACACCAATCCTTTTTAGCACAGCCTGCCTTGACATTCAAAGACGAGTCAGAGGACATATTCTCTGGGATAACAAAGTTCAAGTCTATTTCAACGTCCTGAAGACAGCCTACAAACGAAGGTGCAGAATTCATATCATAGATGTTTTGTGGAGAGTCTACACTACTGTTCCCCACGGGCAAGCCACCCAAAAATGTGCTCTGGAATGCAAATATTGTCTGATTGCTATCTATTGTAGTAGTGGTTTCATGGAGACAGGATTCTGTGCAAGAGCTCTCGGCTAGCTTAAGAGTTACCGTCCTTGCTATAATTACCTCCACCGAATGCCATTCGCTGTCACTGACATTATGGGGTATATGCAAAAAGGCCTTGGATTTGTTATTCATTTGCATGGACAAGTGTAAGTAGCCATTCAGTAACTCCAGCTTCATGAACGTGTCTTTGTTTCCTCGGTAAAATATCAGGGTTGTTGGTTGGACAGTCAGAAACCTAAGGTTTATGTTATAGAAATAGTCCTGGGTAGGGGCTGTGGCACTGTGAACCTGAAGGAACCCATTTCCCTGAAAAGACAATGTTGTCATTATTTCACAGTGTACTCCAGTGTATCCAGCTGGGCACAGGCAGCTAAATCTGTGTTGTCCATTTCTTAATTGAGGAATGCACACTCCCTCATTTTGGCATTTATGCTGAACGCAGCCGAGGAGGACATCCGTGCAGTTCCAGCCACCATAAAATATCCCATCCTCTTCTCCTGGCGGGCAATGGCAAGTATAATTTCCAAAAGAATTCTCACAGGTCCCCCCATTTTGGCATGGGTTTATGTGACATTCATTGATGTCTTCTTCACAGTGAATGCCTGCAAAAACCAACAAAACACATGAAAAGCAAAGGAGAAAGGAAGGTACTGATTGCACAGATCAAATTAGGTGAGTCATGTGACATGTTAAAAGCATATGCATGTTCCCTGATCTTACAACACTATCCCTCATGCATGCAAATGTTTCAGGGCTGCACACCTGAGAATCAAACATGCAAGTTAACATAACAAAAGCAGGCTTATTTGCCAAATAAGGATTAATGCAAACTCTTCTTAAAATAAACAGATAGTGTTTGTTTGTGTGTTTGTTATGGGAGCTCTGATTCTACACATGTCTTAATTGTATTGTCTAATTTGGCCCTTGAAACAACACTCAAAAACATTTGATAAAATAATGCCAGGTATGGTAGATAAAGTTTGAAAACCTCTCTTAACTAAATCAATTATAAATCTCTCCCTGATGCTGGATTATTAAGGATTCTTCCAAGACAGATGGTTCTTCTTTCTACCATTAAAAGGCATTGTGTAGCTATTTTATCTTTTCCTTCTTATTATGTTTGTATGGTAAGCAAGAAGACATAAGAAGCAGATGGAACAGTTACAAGTGGAAGACAGGGCTGTAGGGATCCCACCTCCCCAACCAATTAGGTGATTGCATAGTAAAACCCTTATCTGGAAGTATCCTTGTTTGATCCTTGTCATGCTTATTTTTCTATCAAAATTACAAAAGTATCATATCAAAAATCTCTGTATTGTGCGAGTGCTGATAACCATTAGATTATTTAAGCTGATTTTTTGTATCCAACAGCTTTGTGTTGTTCTGTGTACCATTGATAAGATATGAAGATTCCTCCACTCTAGGATGTGTGTATGGAACCTCTGCAATATGCTTTTATGGTCTACAGAATGCCAGACCCCTCTTTGTCCCTTTTATAAGGATATTGATAAAAAGGTAAAGGTAAAGGTCCCCCTTGGCATTTTAGTCCAGTCGTGTCCGACTCTAGGGGGCGGTGCTCATCCCGTTTTTCAAGTCGTAGGGCCAGCGCTTGTCCGAAGACAGTTTTCTGTTATCACGTGGCCAGCGTGACTAGGGAACGCCGTTTTACCTTCCCACCGAGGTAGTACCCATTTATCTACACGCATTTACATGCTTTCGAACTGCTAGGTTGGTGAGGAGCTGGGACAAAGCAATGGGAGCTCATTCCATCACGTGGATTCGATCTTATGACTGCTGGTCTTCTGACCCTGCAGCACAGAGGCTTCTGCGGTTTAGCCTGCATTGTAATCAGGTGGTGGAAAAGGTGTGTATCTGATTACACCAGAAAGGGTTACTTTACTGGGAGTGATTTCCCTTAAAGCAACCCTTTGGTCTGTCAGGAAATTACTCTGGTCTGCCTCTCTAAAAAGGACCTGCCCTACAGTAGCAGCTACAATTATCCACAGTACAGAAAATGCAAAAAGTCATGGTAGCCCAGACAATGGTCCCTCCATGGAACCTTTGCAAGGTTGTGTAGAATAAATCCCACAGAGGTGCCCTGCGAAGCCATGCCGCTTGTTCCTGCTGTGTTCTATCCACATCATTCAGCCAGTCTTAGGAGTGGGTGGGCAGGCATTCATCCTGATCACTGTGCGTTGAGAAAGGGTGTCCACAATGAGCTTGGCTGGAAAAAAGAACTTCCCTTTATTTACCCTACCTTGTCACAACAATGAACTCAAACTCCCATTAACTAGCTTCAATATATGCTACTTTTCCAGTTTCCAGTATGGGGTCCCTTCAGTGAAGAACTGAGAAGAGGATGATTTTATTTCCACACTATTGTAGTCCCAGTTACTATGTATGGATGTGAAAACTGGACAGTGAAGAATACTGACAGGGGATAAAAAAACCCAATTCATTTAAAATGTGGTGTTGTAATCAGGTGGTGGAAAAGGTGTGTATCTGATTACACCAGAAAGGGTTACTTTACTGGGAGTGATTTCCCTTAAAGCAACCCTTTGGTCTGTCAGGAAATTACTCTGGTCTGCCTCTCTAAAAAGGACCTGCCCTACAGTAGCAGCTACAATTATCCACAGTACAGAAAATGCAAAAAGTCATGGTAGCCCAGACAATGGTCCCTCAGTCAAGGTCGTGTAGAATAAATCCCACAGAGGTGCCCTGCCAAGCCATGCCGCTTGTTCCTGCTGTGTTCTATCCACATCATTCAGTCAGTCTTAGGAGTGGGTGGGCAGGCATTCATCCTGATCACTGTGCGTTGAGAAAGGGTGTCCACAATGAGCTTGGCCCAGTCTTAGGAGTGGGTGGGCGGGCATTCATCCTGATCACTGATCTGAACTTGGTGGCTCATTGTGCATTGAGAAAGGGTGTCCACAATGAGCTTGGCTGGAAAAAAGAACTTCCCTTTATTTACCCTACCTTGTCACAACAATGAACTCGAATTCCCATCAATTAGCTTCAATATATGCTACTTTTCCAGTTTCCAGTATGGGGTCCCCTCAGTGAAGAACTGAGAAGAGGATGATTTTATTTCTACACTATTGTAGTCCCAGTTACTATGTATGGATGTGAAAACTGGATAGTGAAGAATACTGACAGGGGATAAAAAACCCAATTCATTTAAAATGTGGTGTTGGATGAAAATTTTGAGGATATCATGGATTGCCAGTAGAACAAAAAAGTGTGTCCTAGATTAAATCGAGCTCAAACTCTCCCTAGAAACAAAAATTACTAAACCAAGGCTATCATACTTTAGGAACAGCATGAGGAGACAAGAGAAGAAGGCCATGACGTTGGGAAAAGAGGAAGACCAAACATAAGATGGATTTATTCAATAAGGGAAACCATAGCCTTGAGTTGTCAAGAGCAGAGCTGGGCTGTTAATGATGGGACAACTTGGAGGTCACTCATTGATAGGGATGCCATGAGTCAGAGGTGACTTGAGAGCACATAATGACAACAAATACTATAAACATGTTAACATTACTCAGCATTTGCCTCAGCAGAGGAGGGCTCTAAATGAGGTCACAGTCTTTAACTCTAGTCCCCACATCCTTATACCTTCTTGTCTCTGCCACCTCTAACCTCACCACAATAGTCAGCAAAGTCTGAAGGGGTGTTCTGCTCTCTTTTACTTAGCAGTATCTCAGACAAAACAAAACAAACAAACAAACAAACAAACCTCAAGTCATATATGGGACTCCTCAATAAACAATGTTGCTATCAGTTTGGGATTGAAAAAAGCAGAGTATATTAATTCATTTGGGTATCAAGTCATGCATAGTTGTCTGATTTTATCTCCAATATTTAGGGCCAGTCCTTACATATAAGCTGCCTGAGGTAAAGGGAAAAATAATGCTCCCCATTTTCCCATATGCAGAATCCTACAAATATAGCATCGAATCTTACCTCAACATTGGTATCTGGACTGCATGATTTAGAGTGAATAAACTGTGTGACAAACAGCTCTGTCACTCAAGGAAGAAAAATGGCCTGGGGCTGCCACCTCAATACTGCCACCTGAAGCCATTGTTTTACTCTCTTATGGTAAGGCGATCCCTGCCAATAGCTATATTTTCCTTCTCATTCTAACTTCTTATGTCCTGTTTAACTATGATGTTGGACAAACACATATTCTAAACTATTGCTGTAATGTAAATGAGCCCTGAGACAGAGAGAGATAATTAATCACCAGATTGTCATGAGATTGTCCGTAGTCTCCCTCATTCATTCTCTCTCTCTCTCTTTGCTCTAATCCTGTTTTACTTCCAGGCAGAAAACAATCCCCAGATAAATAACTTGCTTGGGGTTTTCTTTAGGTTCCCCCCTCTATGTCCATTCAGTCACAGAGTATCTTTACATTACAGCAATCGTTTAGAATATGTGTTGGTGTATATGAAACCCAAGTTAAATCAACTCCAAGTCACATGGCAGTCACGGCGTTTGAGTCGCAGTTTGCATTTCCTTGGAACAAACCTTTAATCCCATGTTTTTGAAGGGACACCCTGTGCTCTCTCTCTCTCTCTCTCTCTCTCTCTCCAATTTAAGGCTGGGACTCAGAGCGGCAGGTGGCTCAGCAAGTGTGTATATGAGTATACCCTGGGTGTCTGCCCAGGGAGGAGGGAAGAGCACTAAGAAACAGCCAAGCAAGCCAGCAATAGAAAAGGTCTGAAACGTCCTGGCTGGAGGGGAAAAGAGAAAGGTGGCAGTGGTGATGTTTTGCCTGCCTGCCTGCCTGCCTGCCTGCCTGCCTGCCAGTGGCCAGTTCCAAGATTTGTGTGCCAGCTCAATGGAGGGACATCTCCTTGGGTTGATCTTGCTTTGTCCATCCCTTCGCCTCCCACCCCGGGACTAGAAAAAGATTTCGGGGAGCAAGTGAGTGAGTAGAATGGGGTCCACTTCTATCACAACTACAGCAGGGGCAAGTGACTGTGAGAGTCAGCCAGCAGAGCTACTTAACAATTAACATGGGCCAAGATATCCACATGGGGGGGGAGTTGATTAAAATGAATTTAAATGAATTGATTCCACATCCACATTAAAATTAATGGACCTCTGGCGGAAGAATTAAAAAAAACCTTACTACCGCTACAAAAACTATGATCCCCTGTCAAAGTAATTCACTTGTACACATGTGTTGTGCATTCACCAGTTTTTACAGCAATTCAAAACAAGCTAAACCTGATTTAAATACAGGGGCTTTTAAAGTAGCATAGTTTTTAAAGACTTCCCCTCCTGCTGCTTCTCTTTTGCCTTCCCACTTTCTTTTCCTTCCTGAGCACACTCTCCTCACCCTGTGTCTCTCATCATCATAATCCCTCTTGCCTCATTCCATTCCCCCTGCTTGTTTGCTGTTTATTTCTAGCCCTATCTACCTTTGAGAAGCTCTGCCACCTGCTAACCTTTTCCTGTCCCCACCATTCCAACATAACCACCATCATGTGGCCAACCCTGAGGTGCCCACAAGGACTGAGTGGCACAAAGAAAGAAAGCACTTTTTTTTGAATAGTGGGGTTATATTTTGCTTTGTAATTTGTAATTTAAA